TTTGGTCAGAAGGCAGAGGAAAGATCTGTATATTTACACCATGAAAAGAATCTAATGATATTTCTTCTACCCAGACTGACCCTGTTCTAGGCATACAAACTTGGCTATCTTTGGGAAGACACCAACAGGAAGAAAACATGGTGAGGAAACCCACTTCTGTGTCCTTGCAAACTCCCAAGGTAGAGAAAAGTCAACAGTGTGCTGTAGTTCCAAAGAGATGGCATCAGTGGTTTTGAGAAGAGGAAGCCAATGATGTAAATCTTGAGGCACATGAGTTTGGATAAGCAGGTGGAGCTGCTGGCTGGACAATGAGGTGATATTACAGAGGCTCCCAGGACAAGTGTGACTGTATGAAGAAAGGACCAGAGGCTGCTGGAAGGAAAGGAACTGAGACCAAGATATCCCTTCCCATAACTTTGCCTGCACCTCTGATTAACCAGCATCCTTCCTTATGGGCTATGAATTTACAAAGGGATAGGTTTCCTTTTTTTTTTTTTTTTTTTTGGTTTCCCATTTTTAACTCCCATCAATGTGAATTTTTTTCTCTTTTAGCCATGATAACAAAAGTTATGCATGACTATATGGTCATGGCACGATGGGAGACTAAAGTGACAGGAGCCCCTTTCATGCTACAAACACAAAGCAGGGCAGGATTAGAAGCACGTACACGTACACATGCACACACACATGAGCTGCATGCTCATACCTACACACATGCATGCACAAAGCACAGTGAAGAAAAGGGAAGCTTTCTTCAGGTGCTGGAAACAGAGGGGAATGGGATATTCTCACAGCACCTCTCTCTGGAGTGCAGCAGCCTAAGAAGACATAGGGCCCAGGGGTGGACACCGAGGCTTTAGCATCCACATGGGAGCCCTGAACTGTGCAGAGAGTAGAAAATGATACCACTGCATGAATCTGAGATCTGGAGCGACTCAGCGCATCTGTGAAAAGACTGGGGAAAACTGTCCATCAAAACCAAGAAAGTACAAGAAGTTTCACCATCTGTTTGAAGCTCTGGGTTAGAAATTAAAACCTAGATGAGTATGGAAGTCCAAATGTATACTACCTACAGAGTGTGGCAGTGGTAGTCACATTTTTCTCCTACAAGAACGGGTATGTTTGAAGCTCCTGGAACCGTGGCAGGAGCAGCGGGCAGAATCCGCTGTAGGAACATTTCTATAGCCCAGTGTGCTTGGGGGCCCCATGGGACTTAGAGGGAGACCAGCCCTGGTGAAGATGAGCTCATACTCAAAAAGTTAAAACATCACAAGGAAGAAATCCACCATGAGAGCCAGCACACACAGCAAGCAGACAAATGTGAATCCCAAGAACTAAGGTGGTGGGGAGGAGGGAGATCAAGAGAATAATCTGGAAGACAGTGGGTTTGAAATGATTAAATGTCTAAAAGTTTTTTAAGAATCATAAGAGAAGAATGAGCAGATTTATTGTTTTACAATAAAAACAACGGGCAGAACTTTAAGACGGCCAGATGAATATCTGATTAAAATAGATTAAATGAAAGCATAGGGCTAAATATTATTAATGAAAGAATAAATGAGCTGGAAAATAGATCTGTGGGAAGCATCTAACTGTAGGACAGAGGCATAAAGGAGTGGAAAATATTAAAATAAAGTTAATAACCTAGAGGGATAGAATGAGAAGGGTTAGAATATCCTAAACACCATTCTTTAGAAGAAAAGGAAAGGTAGAATTATCACGCATTCTTAGGGGCTTGCAGATTAAAACAATGCCATAGCACAATGTACCTGGTTAGCATGGCTAAAATCCAAAACACTGACAACACTAATAAATTCTGGCGAGGATGTGGAGCAATATGAAGTCTTGTTCATTGCTGGTGTCGACACAAAATGGCACGGCCACTTTGGAAGAGGGCCTGGCAGTGCCCCACAAAGCTAAGCATATCCTTACCACACAATCCTGCAGCTGTGCTGCTCCTAGGTATTTACCCAAATGAATTGAAAACTCATTCCCCACCAAAACCTCTCACACACAGATGTACAGAGAAGCATTATTCATAATTGCCAAAACTTGGAAGCAGTCAGGATGTCCTTCAGTAGGTGAATGATAGGCAAACTGTCCATCTATGTAATGGAAAAATGCTTGCAAAAAAAAAGAAAAGAAAAGAAAAGAAAAAAAAGGAAGTGGTCAAGCCATGGAAAGAAGTAGAGGAACTTGAACGCGTATTGTTCTCAGCACAAGTGTTAACACTGTGGCCACAGGTAACAGGGACCTTAAAGAAAGGATCCAAAATATCCCTGGAGTTCCCATCGTGGACATTTCTAACCATAAGAGATGATTATAGAGCTGATTACAGAGCCCCTCAGTTCTAATTCTTCAAAGATGGACTTTCTCTACCTCCCTTTATCAGCTTTTTCTGTGGCCAGTTCATATAGCAAAATGCACTGCCAGGGATCATTCCTCTTATCCATTTGCTCTTTTAGGAGCTGAGTATGATTAAAGTACACTTTTTGATGTTGTTTGGAACTTGATATTTCATATCATTTTAAATTTTCTTTCATCTTTGTACAAATCAGATGATTGCTCACGTTACAAAAAAAAATATTGTTACCATGAAAGAAGCCAGTCTGGAGGCACCTGAGTGGCTCAGTGGTTGAGCGTCTGCCTTCAGCTCAGGGCATGATCCCAGGGTCCTGGAATTGAGTCCTGCACCAGGCTCCTTGCAGAGTCTGCTTCTCCCTCTGCCTGTGTCTCTGCCTCTCTTTCTGTGTCTCTCATGAGTAAATAAATAAAATATTTTTATTTTTTTTAATTTTTTAAATTTTTATTTATTTATAATAGTCACAGAGAGAGAGAGAGAGGCAGAGACATAGGCAGAGGGAGAAGCAGGCTCCATGCACCGGGAGCCCGATGTGGGACTTGATCCCGGGTCTCCAGGATCGCGCCCTGGGCCAAAGGCAGGCGCTAAACCGCTGCGCCACCCAGGGTTCCCTAAAATATTTTTAAAACAGAAAGAAAGAAAGAAGCCAGTCTGAAAAGGCTACTATGTATGCAGTGGTTCCAGCTATGTGATGTTCTGGAAGAGGTAAAACTATAGAGACCATTAAAAGATCCGTGGTTGCCAGGCATTGGGATGAGGGCATGAAGAAAGTTGAACCAGGGGCCCTATGGGGGACTTTTAAGGCAACAAGACTATTCCTTCCATATGATACTGTAACTATGGGCACATGGCTTTAAGCATGGGGCAAAACCCACAGAAGGTACAACACAAAGTGTGAACCCTAATGTAAACTGTGGGCTTTAGTTAATAATAATGTATTGAGATTTGTTCATCAATTGTAAAAAGCAACAACAAAAGAAACCACCCCAATGCCAGATGTATGTTAATAGGAGAAACTGAGGCAATGGGGAGGAGGAGTGTATGGGAACTCTCTGTAGCCTCTGTACTTCCTGTTCAATGTTTCTATGACCCTAAAACTATTCTAAAAAAAATAAATAAGTAAAATATATTTTTAAAAAAAGGGATAGGGAAAGTTGATATTCAAAGTAAGAATGGGTGAGGGTTTTTTTTTCCAGAAGTAAAGTTATGAGTCAGACATTGAAGAAAGACACTGAGTCCAGAGCAGAACAAATAATAAAGCAAGTCCACACCTACTTTCCACACCAAAGACAAAATGAAAGTCTCCAAAACCATCAGAGAAAAAATACAGATGGCATAGAGAGTAGTGACAATTAGATTATTAGCCAACTTCTCAACAACCATAATCTAGATCAGAAGAAAACTCAGTAACATCCTCAAAAGGTCCAGGAAAAAGAAGGAGCAACTTAGATTTCTCTGTTCAGCCAAATCATTCCAGAGCGCGAACAAGCCAAAAGCATGACACGCAATTTCACGAAACTTAAAAAAGACAGCAGTATGGAAGCAGTAATTATGCTAACCTCTTCAAAGGAGAATCAAAGAAACATTTGGAGTGTTTCCTTTCCTCTGTACGTTTCATATTGTATCTTAGACACACAAACACGCACAACCCAGTCATACTTTCCATTTAACAGTACATGCATCCTCTTGGATTTTCACTGTCCTTGAAGAATATTTTTTAACATCTGAATTACAGCGTAAGTGCCATCGTTTAGTGAATTGCTAGACAGTCAGCTTAATTGCTAGACATTCAGATCAGAGAAATTCCTCCTAGATGGCAACTAGATGAAATGCACACAAAAGATAGACAAAATAACGCCAAACACGGCCTACCTTTTCTTTCTCGCTGAAAACTCCACCTGCTTCTTTACCTGCTTACTGAGGTGAGGAGGTGTTTAGTTCAGAAGGGGCCATTAAGAGTTGATTGGGATGTCTCGTTTCAAGGTTTTCTGCCCTCAGTGCACTGCTAGTGGGTGGCATCGTGGAACAATCCCAGACATTCTAAAGGAAGATGTAAGAAGAAACTAATACATTTGAGAACTGTTGTGTGTCAGGCACTGTGCTGGGCACTTCCTCTGGAACAATCCCATCGATACTACTATTTATGAAAATTTATTCTTTTGGGGTGTTTGCATACGCGAGCTCCTTTGGTCCTCATCAGAACTCTAGGAAGTGCGCATTTTTATTCTGTTCATTTTCCAGACAGGAGAGATGTGGCTCTGAGGTCACACAGCTAGTGAATGATATGGTCATAACTGGAAGGCGAGTGTGTCTGAGGTAGCATGCTGCAAGTTTATGTCCCATCCTGTTCCAGGCATGGGTGGGTGGCAGGGGACACAGGTGGAATAAAGCAGAACATAGTGACAATAATTAAGAAAACACAATAGGGACTGGACGTAACTATACATCATCCTATTTCATCTTCCCTCCAACAATATTAGGTGGGTACCCTGACCATGATTAGTGTCAGCCCTCAAGTGAGCATGCACAGGCCTGGAGAGCTCAGTCACTTGCCTTAAGGTCCCAGAAGTGTAAGTGACCGGGACCCAGAGTGCATGCCCTTCTCCCTCACGGCCTGTGGTTCTTGTCTTCTGTGCAGGTGAGATGGAGGAGCTGGAAACGCTGTGGCTCACGGGGATCTGCCACAACGAGAAGAACGAGGTGATGAGCAGCCAGCTGGACATCGACAACATGGCAGGCGTGTTCTACATGCTGGCGGCCGCCATGGCCCTCAGCCTCATCACCTTCATTTGGGAACACCTCTTCTACTGGAAGTTGCGCTTCTGTTTCACGGGCGTGTGCTCCGACCGGCCAGGGCTCCTCTTCTCCATCAGCAGGGTTAGTACCTCAGACAGCTACTTCCTAATGCAGTGGGCAGGTCCACAGGAGCTCGGGGCTTCCAGAGAATCCAGGATTCTTGACTCCAGGGTGGGGGCGGTCAGCACATCCTCCCCCTCGCTCACCAACCTTTCCTGGGCGTGTAGGAAAGGAATCCAGGTTCTGTGCATTCACAACCCAGCCACTGCAATCCCAGGTGACTGTGGAGGCCAGAGAGGGGAGGAGGATGGGATAAAGCAGGCTGGGCACAACAAAATAGCACAAATGTGATGAAAAAAAAAAAAAAAACAGCAAATGCCCCTGGGCGTCAGGGTGAGGGAACACTTGAGTATGCCTGCTCTGCCCCACCTGAAGGGGTCAGCCCTCCTCAAGTCCTGCTGAGTATTATCTATGGGAATACAAGGGCAATATTATCAGGTATTCTAGTTTTTAAAAGAGAATGCAGTCATCTGATTTTGTGTGAAACCTTTCCATTTTTAAATATTAGTAACTAATTCAATTTTTTTTTAAAACCATGTAGGCCAAACAAAGCAGTCTATATGTGGCATCCACCATTAGCAGCCGGATGTGCTCTACAATGCTCCTAAAATCCTTATGCAAGACGTTACAGTTCATGCATGCATTCCAGTGGAACATGCCATTCCAGTGGAACATGTATACCAAAGCAAAATCTACACACAAGGCCATGCTGTGTGTATACACGTCTAACAAAACACAAGTAGACTGTGCCATGCAATAGTCTCAAATGGAACAAAGATGGGAAGAATCATGAGAAAATGCCCGGCACATCAAATAGAAACCAAAGAAACATTGAACCCAGCATAAACCACAGCAACAGAACACACGTGCCTTAGTGAGCTCACACAGTATTCAAGGTAACCCCTCTCGTGTGGCACAATGCAGCATGTGTATGTTACCATAAAACAACACCTGCAATTCATCAGTAATGATGACAATCACAGAAAATGATGATTATTTGTGGAGCACCTATATGTGCCAGGCACCCTGTAAGGGCTGTGTACTCCCCAGCTCGTTTAACCTACAAGCTATCTCTGTGAGGTGGGTAACTGTCATTAGCCCTAGATTATAGGGAAGCTCAACGTTATGGGGTTAGATGATTGCTCAAGGCTACACAGTCTTGGTGGAGCTGGGACTCAAATCTAGGTGGTGTGGTACCAGCCAGAGCACATGCTCTTACACAAGCAATGAACATCCAATGCAAGCAACACAAGAGATTTGATAGAAATCTATGCTACGCAACACATATGTGCACACACCTGACATGTTTACATATTCAACACAATCTTGTCACTTAGTTGCATTGTATGTACGTAGTCACTCATCTTCTAACAAAACATGGCATTATCTGTCGTAACAAAACATGGCATTATCTGTCGTGCAGCCGATCATCTTTCCATCCATCCATCCACCTATTTCATCCATCCCATCCATTCATCCATCCATCCATCTGCCCGTCTATTTATCTAGCTATTTCTCCCATTTGCTCACCTTGGAATGTTTTTACTCTGAACGGATTTAAAGAGGATATGAAACATGGTGAAACACATTTGGTTGAAAACACCTAGTTTTATATGCTAATGGTTATTGGGAAAACAAAACAATTATGTCTAAGGGAATTTATATATTCTTAGCATTAGGTGATTTTAAGAACTTTGGAGATTCAGAAGGCACACATTAGCTTAGTGAGGATGATTTATTTTTTTCTGTTCAGTGGCACTCTTAACTTGCATTCTGTGCAAATACATATTTCCTAATTAACTTGATGGCATCTAAACACACAGATTGCTTAAATATAACAACGTGCATGCGTATAGCTAGGTATTATGCCGACGTTAAGCTAATTCTCTCCACCAATTACTAAAGGCTTTCCATATCCAAATGATTCTGGGATTATCATGAGCAAATGCACACTGTTGCTTTTCCTTGTAAATCCTGCTTGTATCTGGAAGACCATTTCCTCTGTCTGAGATACCACTAAGGAAGCCAAGCTGAGAGGATCGTCATTATGAGAAATGAACTAAATCCTCACTTCCCTTCCAAGCATCTTGAGGGATGGGACTGGAGGGGACTGGGGCACACAGGAACAGGCATCCTGGAATGTAAACTTTAGTTTCCCCTCCCTGGGGGAGAGAGGACCCTGTGTCTCATAGGAGCACTGCAAGGATTTCTATGCCCCTTTTGGGGACTCCCAGCCACCATCACTCCTCTGTCCTCAAAGGCTGCAGGGAGCCCTACTTCTGCACTGACCCACCCTTCTCCACAGATAATATCTCTCTTTTAAAATTAGCACAGCCCAACATGCATGAATAGAAGGATTTCATATTTAATATACTTTCCTGCCTCTCTTGTTAGGGGAACTTGAAATGGGCTCAGCTCCCAGTGCTATGCATAGGGGGGCTTCTGGGTTGCTAAATAAACACTCTTCCTTTCTCATCAAGGGCTAACACACGTCTAAAGCTTGTCTTATGGGCATTCACACATATGCCACCTTACGTGTATATTCCTTACACAGAGCAGAGAGTCACACAGACAAGTGTCTTCATTGTACACACATAATCATTTACTTGAACAAATCTCCACAGGCAATTCCCAAGCCAAGAACCTACCTTCCCACAAAGGCAAGACCACAACCCCACAATGAATTATGTCATGTGTGAATAAGGGCAGGGCCAGATAGCTGTTCTCCATCCTCTCTAGTCCTTACGACACCTGTGAGTTTGATGTAATCACACCCATCCTGTGGATATGGAGAAACTGAGGCCCCAAAGGTTGGAATAGGACCCTTTTGGCTTCACCTTATATTTCCTTGAAATGACGCATCTCCTGGTTTATGCCCCGGTCAGCAGCAGCCACCACGTTTGCTTTCCAGACCCCTTCTTGGGCTGGCTCCCTGTCTGTCTTAGGGGGACCAGCCCAGACCCAGGAGTCCTGTTCAGACTGTCCCCATTATGTCCGGCTGCTACCATCTGGGGGTAGCAGTGGGGAAGGGGAACATAAATCACAATGTCCCTGAAGCTGCCCTGCCTATGTTGTGCCACGAAGCACAAGTTACTTTGAAGTCAGAGTAAACAGCTATTTTTAAGAAAGGAACAAGGCACAGTGGAAAACAAGAGACCCATCATGTCTGAGCCACCCAGAAGTCCTGAAGTCACTCCGTCCCTGGATGGATTTTAGTGCTTCATTCCTATTTCCTCAGGAGTCTTCACTGTTCCTAGTGGCTAACACCCAACTCTGACCATGTGGAACACACACACACACAGAATAGATTAAGTGGCATATGTGAAAAGGCCCAAGTGTTGTCCAAACCATCCCCTGTGCTCCGCTCCTTTCTATGATGGTTTCACTCTCAGGCTAACATCCCATATGGCGGCAAGACTAGTCCCCTGCATCTGCTCCTTCTAGCCCAGCTTCTATCACTTTCCTTCCCCAAAATGGCTGATTGATCCTCCATGGATTTTTATGCCCAGCATTGAAGCACCCAGAAAGGGATTTCTGGTTGACCTGCTTGGGTCTCATGCCTTTACCAATAGCTTCAGTATGTGGGTAGGTGCCATTTCCCCTGAAGAATTAATAACTGGTGGTCCTTTTAAGCCCAGTTTAATAGCTGAGTCTGGTATCCAGACTCTAGAGATGACCCTGGGAAACTCTGACAAAAGATGATCTAGTGAACCAGGGATCAACTCAATCTCCTTACGTGTCAACTCGAGGGCACTGTGACCTTTATAGATACATAAGCATTAGTTGATTCCTTTTCTCAAACCCAACATATATGACCACCCACAAAAGTAATAATCTTGAGCCAGAGAGACGAAAGAAGCCTGGCACCTGTGGTCTCATAGATTTCAGGAACATTCCCGGGATTCAGATTGGACTTCAAGATCCTTCCAAGGCTCCTCCAAGAAGGACACCTCTCACCTTTGCAGGTAAAGACCAAGTGTGTAGTGGTTTCGTGCTCCTGTTACTGCTGATTATGTCTCATTTTCCTTCCCACAGGGTATTTACAGCTGCATTCATGGAGTGCACATCGAGGAGAAGAAGAAGTCTCCAGACTTCAACCTGACCGGATCACAGAGCAACATGTTGAAACTCCTTCGGTCAGCCAAAAACATCTCCGACGTGTCCAACGTGAACTCCTCCAGAATGGATTCCCCCAAAAGGGCTGCTGATTTCATCCAAAGAGGTTCCCTCATCATGGACGTGGTTCCCGAGAAAGGGAATTTGATATATTCAGACAACAGATCCTTTCAGGGGAAGGACAACATGTTTGGGGACAACATGAATGAGCTGCAAACATTCGTGGCCAACAGGCACAAGGACAATCTCAATAACTACGTGTTCCAGGGACAGCACCCTCTTACTCTCAACGAGTCCAACCCGAACACGGTGGAGGTGGCCGTGAGCACAGAGTCCAAGGCGAACTCCAGGCCCCGGCAGCTTTGGAAGAAATCCATGGAGTCACTCCGCCAGGATTCACTGAGCCAGAACCCAGTCTCCCAGAGGGATGAGGGTGCAGCAGAGAACAGGACCCACTCCCTAAAGAGTCCTCGGTACCTTCCGGAGGAGGTGGCCCACTCGGACATTTCGGAAACTTCAAGTCGGGCCACATGCCACAGGGAGCCCGACAACAGTAAGAACCACAAGACCAAGGACAACTTCAAAAGGTCGGCAGCCTCCAAATACCCCAAGGACTGCAGCGAGGTCGAGCGCTCCTATCTGAAAACCAAAGCGAGCTCCCCCAGGGACAAGATCTACACCATCGATGGTGAGAAGGAGCCCAGTTTCCACTTAGACCCTCCCCAGTTTGTGGAGAACATGGCCCTCCCCGAGAACGTGGACTTCCCAGACCCGTACCAGGACCCCAACGAAAACTTCCGCAAGGGGGACCCGGCGCTGCCCACGAACAGGAACCCCACGCACAATGAAGACGTGCTCCCCAACAACGACAAACACAAATTCTACTCCAAGCACTTCACCCTGAAGGACAAGAGCTCCCCTCACAGCGAGGGCAGCGACCGCTACCGGCAGAACTCCACGCACTGCCGGAGCTGCCTCTCCAACCTGCCCACCTACTCAGGCCACTTCACCGTGAGGTCCCCCTTCAAGTGCGATGCCTGCCTGCGGATGGGGAACCTCTACGACATCGATGAAGACCAGATGCTTCAGGAGACCGGGAGCCCGGCCGCCCAGGAGGAGGTCTACCAGCAGGACTGGGCGCAGAACAACACCCTCCAGTTCCAGAAAAACAAGCTCAGGATCAGCCGTCAGCATTCCTATGATAACATCGTTGACAAGCCCAGGGAGATGGACCTTAGCCGGCCCTCCAGGAGCATAAGCCTCAAGGACCGGGAACGGCTCCTGGAGGGCAATCTGTATGGGAGTCTCTTTAGTGTCCCCTCAAGCAAACTCTCGGGGAACAAGAGCTCCCTCTTCCCCCAGGGTCTGGAGGACAGGAAGCGGAGCAAGTCCCTTTTGCCAGACCACACCTCCGATAACCCCTTCCTCCGTTGCTACGGGGACGACCGACGCTTAGTCATCGGGAGATGTCCCTCAGACCCTTACAAACACTCGCTGCCATCCCCGGCCGTGAACGACAGCTACCTTCGGTCGTCCTTGAGGTCGACAGCATCGTACTGCTCCAGAGACAGTAGAGGCCACAACGACGTGTATATTTCAGAGCATGTTATGCCTTATGCTGCGAATAAGAACAGTATGTACTCTACCCCCAGGGTTTTAAATTCCTGCAGCAATAGACGTGTGTACAAGAAAATGCCTAGTATTGAATCTGATGTTTAAAACCTTCCATTAATGTTTTATCTATAGGGAAACATACGTAACGGCCACTGTTCTGGAGGGTAAATGTCGGATGTCCGATGGTGCCCTGCAAAGAGGAAGAGGATTTAGGAAGGTATTTTTTTTTTTTGTCAGTTCTTTTGCACATGGCTCCATGCCGTAGTCTTGCACTCAAGGAATCTTGTGAGGTGTGTGCTGAGCATGGCAGATACCAGATAGGTGAGTCCTTAACCAAAAACACAAACACAAGGGCAAGTCTCCTGGACATGCCCGCTGGGTATGTTGGCAATAAGAATGCGTTGGATGCCCGTGGTGATGTTATGATTTCCTATATTGCAAATTCCATTCAGACCAGTCCACCATGTGATTTCCTCATCAGAAACGCCTAACGGTCTCTCTCATTCCGAATAAGCAATATGGTATGCATGTACACCTGACACAGAACAGTTATGAATGCGTCTGCGCTGTAGCGAGATGGATGTGCAAGAGATTAGGAAGTTTGGCTCTGTAACCGTTTCAGCTTTACTGTTATGCCTCCCATCACTGCCCAGGCCCAACCCCAGAACTCCAGGCTCCCCCAAAGAATAGCCAATCCGTGTGCACAGTAACTATGCTACTACCTTCATTATAGTCCATTTCCAAGACACATCTGGAATAAAAGGCCAGAAGGGCCCTCAGGTGGAGAGCTACGAGGATCTCTCTGGATGTCGACTCGTGCGTTCCACAGACCACTCTCTCACCCTTGGCCCCGATGGTCTCCTTCAGAGCTGCACAAACACAGAACGTGTCTCTGTTCTCTGATCTCTGGATCTCCTGTCTCTGACACAGCGGCTGTTGTAGTTTATCCTGAAGACTCTCGTATATGTAAGTTTGTGTTTCCCCCCTTCTGGTGACGACTCAGGGTTGTATAGTATCTGTTACCCCTCCCTTCCCAGAGTGACCATGGCCTGTTCGGTCCCCGAACAGCCATGGTGGCATCTAATTAAGTGTGTGTTGCCGTTCCCCGGGTTAACGTGGTGGCATGTGCCAGCAGCCATATGTGTACTATGATCTGTAGGAAGTAACAATGCCATCTGTCCGCTGAAGGCTAGCATGCTTCTAGGTCTTTCTTCCTGAGCATTGTGAGATTTGGTTGGACACTCGTTTCCACCCCAACCTCCTCAGATCAAAAGCCTTCAAAACATGAGAGACACTCATGCATCCACCCTGAGCATCCTCCAAATTTTGGATCACCTTTAGTGGCGAAAGTGATTTCTCTCTTCTGAAACGTTTACTCCATTGGAGCCAACCTGCTTCACTGACACCGACAGGGATATGTTAAAAAAAAAAAATTCCTCAGAGCATTTGTCATTTCCAAGTCACCCCTATTGTCCCATTCTTACTTTACTCAGATCTGTGCCTATGTGATCTGGAATGATACTCATTCAGGAAGGAGGGGAGTCTTTAGCACGGGAAGCTCTTAGCACGGGCCTGGCACACACCAAGTGCCAAAAACAAAAAGGTAGTGGTTGTGTCACTACACACCAGACTATTGTAGTTTAAAAATTAAGTATTGTAAAACCCACAAATGGTATTAGCTCAGCATTTCCATATAGTTCTAATTCAGTGTATTTTAAATTCATGAAGGTCCCTGAGACATCCAGGATAACTAGCCATCAGGTCTCGTAGTGTAGCTGAGTCCATTGGGTGACACGCAGCCGAGGCTAACTAACCTGGTCATCTCCTGGCTTCCTTCTGCATTTTGCTCTAGGTTCCTGGAGTGGGCGGACAGAGTGGCAGGTTGAAACGTTACCCTGTTTCTCTTACTTATAGCATGTCCTATTTTGTAGGGAGTGTGCTCTTGTGAGGGGGCAGGTGTTGGGAGTAATTCTCTCAGAGCTCAGATTCATCAAATGGCCCCATCTTTGGGCAAGCGCACCCAGTAATGGCGAGAAGTGGCTGCAGGACGTTGCAGGATCATTGGTGGGGAGGCAGAGGAGGCCATGGGTGAGAAAGTCTTCTCGTCACCTTTGAGGTTGACAGGCAGAAGAGGCTGGCTAGACATTGATGACAAATGGATCCAACCCCTGCATTTTCTTTCTTGGATGTTGGCCCTTTCTTGGATGTTGCCCCAAGACCCAACAACAGAGAAGCCCAGACTGAAGGGCCTTACCCCCATATCTACTCTTAGGCACGCTCCTGATTATTTTGTCTTTTAGAACATCCTGCCTTTATCCTCCCATGGCTTTCCAGATCTATGTTCCCCACCACAGCCAGGATCACCTCATTTCCCCAGAAGACTGGCGTGTCATGACATGAAATGAATTTAAAAATCTCCCCAGCACATGGAACAGTGCTATGTCATAAATCCAAAGAGACTTTCTCTCTTCCTCTCGTGTCTTTAAAGCCCAGGGGACCTGCCAAAAGACAGGGACCTCCAGGAGAATGCAAATTACAGTCAGAAGTGTTCTATAGATCAAAAGCCCTTCTTCTAATAACAGCATTATTTCTGTTAAAACCATGTTTTTACATAGAAAAAGACCAAAAATTAGGTTTTGGGAAGAACCGACAGTAATGTGGTTCCTTTCAAACCCAACGTGTTTTGTTTTCTTTAAATAAACACTGAGGATTAGAATGCTATATATAATGAATACACAATTCTCTTCCTGCACAAATTCATTGACTCTGAATTGTAATGATCCCAAGCATATAAAAATCGACCATTAATCAGGCAGGCAGCCTTTCAAATGAAAGATATTGATGTAGAGCTATTTGAAAGTGATTCAAGTCAGTTCTGTTCTTTGGAAAAAGAATATCAAGACATCAATAGAAAGCCCTCCCAACTCCGGATCCCTTACAGAGGTTTCCTCTGACATCCCAGCCTGAGATCTGAGATCCGTTGATGCCAAAGAGTCAGAATCTCTGAACCCAAAACCAAGCCTGAGTTTCACCTGGCTCAAGTCGGAGCTGGCATCCGTAATGGTACTTCCATGACTCTACGTGGCTTTCTCCCCTTGAGAGGGGCCCAACGGGTACACCTAAATGCAGACGCTCACGTTTCTGTCGACGGGTAACAGTGCACACAGGCCCAACTTAAAATAGTCTGTTGTAAGAAAAGAGTCTTCCAGGGAATGAATTCTACCCTGGAAACCTTGGGGGGCCCCCAGAAAATAAGCTTCATTGTCCTTACCCCTGCAGGTCCCAGGCCACTCCTGGCTTCAATGCTCTGAGAAGACAAGTCCCTACCCTAATGGGTCTCTTTTTCTGCCAGTGTGGCTTGCTTTCCTGAGAGGTGCAGTATTATAACCTCCCCACTCCTCCTCCACCCTCTGCGAATCTTACTTCGAAACTGCAGCCAGCACCATGACCAGAAGTCTTGTGGCCTATACCTGGTTTCTCTTCCCCGTTGCAGAGAGCCTGAGAAGTTTTCATATTCAGCTGCTCTGAGAGGACCATTAAAATTCACCCAGTGCCACAAAATCAGTCACATCGACTCACAGTTATTTTCAAGGGAGAAACAAGAAAATTATACCTTGTTTACAAATGAAATAGTTTCACTTAAATGGGATTCTCGCCAAGGCAGTTAATTAGTCAAAAGATCCATAGCAGCCATATAGTCCCGCATTGTTTATTCTATTTGATATGTCTGCCAATGTGTATTTAATATTCTACGTCCTTCTCAGGAAATGACAAATGCCCTGAATTCTTTGCAAATAGAATTGCTAATGAAAAGGGGGGGTAAAGGTTGGTGTTAATTAAATGGTGATTAAAAATTTATCTCCTTTAAACCTAAAAAGTGCAGCTCTAATAATCAGTTGTCATATAAATAAATACCTTGCACTGAAATCCCATACAGTTTAAGACCTAAATAAATACTAATTTGAGAAACCTAAGTATCTTTCAGAAGAGCTGAATATATTCGTTAACTTCAGGCATATCCCCGTACTGTTTCCTTGTGCGTAGATGTGGCTTGTGAATCCTTGCAGAGGGCACATGAATTGTTTCTGAAGCAGAACCTGTTTGTACGAATCGCGGCTATAGTGGACAGAATTGGGAGTTCTAGGGGGAGAAAAAAATGAGTATGTGGGAACAAAACTCATTGGTGTTTAACAGGAGTTAAGGATTCCACGTGAAGGCGGTTTTCAATGCAAAAGCAGTATTTTCATTTGAGACAAAATTAGACCTTCTGGATGCCCCGTTTTCTTTTGGCCAACAGGGTCGGAAGTGCTGAATGAGAGGGTTGGTGGGGTCTACACCAACGCATGGTTGTGCTTTTCCATTCAACCCCTACACATCGTACTGTGTTCACATCTAGTCGTAGCAATGAGGACAGCTTGCCACCTGATACACATCGGAGAGAAAATGCACTTAATCCTGTGAATACCAATGCTCGTGTACACATGTACATACTATACATGCCTGATTTCTACCACTGACACGTAAAGTGTATTATCCAAATAAAATTGTATATAATGTAAAGTTTATGTTAAAAATTAAGTCATGATGATGCTTATTACCATGTGGAAAATCTATTCTGATTATCAATGGGCTGATAATTAGGAAGAGAGGGCGCTATTGATTTTTTTTGTTTTGTTTTGTTTTGTTTTTTGTTTTTAAATAATAATCTCAGTTCTAGGGAGGGAGAATGGCAGGGCCCAAGTGGGATTTGGGTGCTGGTGTTCTTGGCCTCTTTTCAAAAAAAGACATCTGGGGTTAGGGGTGTGGCCCATGTTCTGCTCACATTAACTTCTGAAGACAATGCTGATATGGACACGTGGGTGATTTCTGTAAACCCACAAAAGGGCACAGTCTGTTTCAATTCCTTATCCTCTTTTCCATCCCCACTTGTTCTGTGCCTGGAAGTACTCTCGATATGGCATCAGCTAAAGGTGCCTGTCCAGAAGGTTCTTAGAAAAATAGAACTTACAGAACTACGCCAAGATCTGGGGAAGGGAGATGAGAAAACTAGTAGATTGGGCTCCCAAAGGGACAGAATTGCTATGGGATCGTTGGATTGACAATATCAGAGCCAGGTCTAGAAACCAAGACCTTCATGCATGGTCCAATTAATTCCTCGCCTGGTTCTCTTTGCCAGGCTGACTCAGTTCTAGGTTTCTCTCAAAAGTGCTCTCCAGGTGCCTCTGGGATAAGAGCCAGAGAACGTCATAGAACTACCCCTGCTTTCTTTGCCTCTTGCCTTATACAGACCCATACATCCCCCTTTGGATTTGGTTTTCTCTTAAGCTCCCCAGTACTCCCTGCCTCAGAATCCTGGAGAAGAGAAAACTTTTCTCAGGGACCTAATTCCCTGGGATATAGTTTAAAACCTCAAACCAAAGATGAAAGCTGGTGGTGATCATTGAGATAATGGAGTTCTAGTTCTCTCGAGCCAAGGATGAACAAAGGACACTGATCAGCTGATAGCACTTGACTGAGTATCTACTCTCCTTTTAAGGCCAATTTGAGGTTGGGAGATGCAAAGGGGACAGAAAATACAGTCTCTTCCCATAAGCAGCTTACGGTCTAGAAATTGTGCTCCCTAACACTAAAGACAACTAAGGGTCCTTGAAACACAAACACAGACTGTGTGTAAAAACTAGAAATGAGAAATCAAGTTCTTACCAGGAAATAAAAATCTGATTCCATGACCAAACAATCCAACAACCCATCCTTCCCTAAAGCCGTATGTAACTCTGGAGAATATAGTTGGTGCTCCTGGAGAGATATCCTTGGTACTTGAACCTTGATTATTCAAAGATAGTATCTGGGAAACCCAGGAGCATCCAAACAGGTGACCAGACTTGCCATTCTGCATTTGTGGTTCCACTGGGTTCTCCAGCCCTTGCCAGATCCTGCCTCCTTCCAGCCCTGCATTATGGCATGGGCTTCAAGAAGAGGTTGAAAGAAATCCTCCAAGGGATTAGAAAACAGACCGCGATGTAAAAAGCCTATTTCCTGAAAGTTTTTTTGTTTGATTTTTATTTTTGTCTTATGAATACCTTTGATTGTTCAGGGTATAAATGTATCAGGGAAGGGAGTGGGGGGGAATCCTCTTTGAGTCCCAAGTGCCTACTGTCTGGCTGACAAAAGAGAGCGTATCAGGTTCCCTAGAGACAAAATGGGGCAAAGAGATGGTGAAAGGAGTCAAGATGTGTTTCGGGAAGATGGCAAGGTGCAGAGGGAGCTTCTTTTCTCTGTCCGTCCTATCCCGTGCCTTGCCAGAATGTGAGATTCTCTGCTTATCCCACGTATATGCCTTGGGTCAGCACATGAGTTTGGAAGTATCAAGATGCATCCACATTGAGTGTAGACTGATTCCAGGCATATCCTAGAATGAAATCCTCCAAATAGGAAAGAAGTACGGTCGCTCCTATTTTATAGATAAGGAAACTGAGGCTCAGGTTGGTCTCAGCTTCATCATCAGCAGGAGTTTGCTAATAAATCCCTAACATTGGGTGAATTCTCAAAGTGCCTGACCTCCCCCAGGGAGGTCAGAATAAAAGTTGGAAAGAGAGGTAGGCTGTTTTGAGGTCCCCTGGGCTCTCTCTTGCGCTTCAGCCTCTGTTGAGAGGAGGTTTGTTAGTGTCCCCGCCCCTTGTCGTCTGGTTTGGGGTGTATCGAGAACTCCAGGGGATCTCACCTCTGTTCCCATCCCTTCTGACACTTGAATGCCATTTGTGTCTCTCCCCATCTGCTTGCACTCTGCATTCACTTGTTTGGTTCCTGGGGAGTTATTTTGTCTACTTAGCATGTGCCTAATTTTAACTATCCCCTTCCAAATCTCTCTTTTTCTCAGTAGATATCAGGGTTAATTCCATTAAACATTTGCAAAGTAGTAGACCCTCCCGTGTGTGGGCACACACACTTCTCTCTGCTACCCCCCCCCCCCCAACAAAGCTCTCCTAAACAGTGTGGCCCATTTTCAGAAAGGTCATGGTATTTGCAAGTGACCGTCCCTGCTAGGTCATCACTGGCACCAAGATAACTGCTGAACCACTGAGTGCTCTCGTTCAGTTTGCCTCACTCAACAACACTGAACTGGAATGTTTCCATTAGGCTTTCTACGAATCCAAAATGGTGGCATGCGTTATGCGTTGGGGAAGCAGCGACACTGAGCCTGTGCATGCCTTTCTTGCACCCCTCATGTGTCCTAAGCCACACTCCTCCCACCAGGCATTTCTATTTTCTCTGAACTGGGGCCACATTAGGTCCACTTCATAGGTGAGGAAACTGAACTGGGACTCGAAGGGATGTTTTTCTAGGAGGTTCTGTGATCCAGTCCTTCTGGAAGGTCAGTTAATCTAACCAAGCACCGTTGTCATTGTCCCCGAGAAATTCTTTAGCTGTTGACATCTTTCAAGCTGGTAGTAAAAAGTCTCATAAGCCAGAAAATAGTTATAATTATTTGATACCTATTTTGAGATCCCATCATTGGGTCTGCAAGTGAACGGGAACATCCTCCCAGGGCTGTTGAGCTGTGGAGAAATTGGACCACTCAAAAGAACCATCTGGCCAGTAGGCTTTCTTCTCTGGGGCTGGATTACAAAGCACATAGCTCTCCAGGGAGCCAGAACCAAACGGTTTCCAATGGACTCGTTTCTCAGATTAACTTCCTCAAGTAAGGTATCAGCAGTATGCAGAGACAAACAAGACGAAACTGAAATTATCACTCCTATATCCCTCTTAGGTACCAGGTCCATGAAACGATAAGTTTGCATCTCTGCAAGTCTAGAACATTCCTCATTAGCCATAGCCCTGGGTCATAACCTCCTCCAGTTAATTCTCTCCCACACCTTTGGGAAGGATTTAAGATGAGCCTTCAAAAGAATATTAACGTAACACGTAGCCAATACCACAGCTGCCTTTTAAATTAATAAGGTTAATTGTTCTCCAGCAAACATAAGTTTGTCTTTGGCATTTTAAACGCTTCTCATTGATCTGACATTTTGCTGTTTTAAGCTTTTAAAGGGCTCAAATCAAAGACTATTGATAGCTGAGCAAATAGTGAAGGTCCAGAAATATAAAAACATTGTCAGTTTTCTCCATGAAAAATAATCATAGCCTTTCGAATTCAACTGAGGTTTTAACATTACATTACATCTAAGACCTATTGAATTATTTCTATTCTCAGTTTAGCTAACTCAAATAAATGAGCAGTATTGACTTTTTAAAACCCATTTTATTTAAAAAAAAAAAACTCTTAAGTTTATTAGGTTTGTAGACACAGCTCTGAAGCCATGGCCGCTAAGGAAATGCTCCAGTTGAGAAATTAAAGATTCAGGCTATTTTGGGTCAAATTCAGGTGATCATCTTTGAAAATTCTAGTGGATTTGCAAAGATGAAAGGGGCACTTGTAACATTCATGTTCCCCATGTTTTTCACTAGGAAAGGATGCCAATTGCCTATTTTCCCCCCAAGTCAGAGATAAGGTCAAGGATAACATTTTCATAGAAAAGTCAGGAAACTACTCGATACCACTAATTACGTGGCTAGCTGTGGCTCAGATGCCTTCCAAGCCTGAGGTTCTCCAAAGATTTCGTTACCGGTTGTTCTGGAGCTCCAAATCTTAATCTTGTTCATTCCCCTGCTAAAGCCAACTTAAAAGCATATACTTGCCAAATTATTTAGTCAGTAGACTTCACTGTAGTTGATCACAATAGAATGTTTGTGCGTATGTGTCTATGTATAGTATATATATTTCAAGCTGAATATTCAGAAAGAATTAGGTGAGTCTCACTGGTGGTTTGAATAAGAAACAGATAAGTCACAAACAGTGGCCTTCTCAGACAGAAAAAAAGGAGGGTAAACCCTTCATATCCTTGAGTCATGTTATGAGACCTGTTGCATACATAATACACAAGCTGGTCATTGCCCACAGGAAGTCATGGATTAAAGCAGCTTTGAAGACCCATGTCTGAGTCCATCCTTAACCCAACATGGGCAGGATCAAACTCCATATGCAGAGGGTTCCCATTCACAGTGACACTCAAACACAGTCCAAAACCCACGTCAGAACTGGCTTGATCTCTTGTATGGTGGAGCCCCATGCAAGCTGTATGCTCTACTCGGTGGTTCTCATTTGGGAATAGACATTCACTTACCAATCACGGCAGTTTATACCTGTCATGTTTTAATCCACTGCATGAGGAAGTGCTGATAACTGTATTCAATATTTCCAAGCATAGCTACAAAATTACACGTTTGCTTAACACCTTTCTATGATAGAGGAAGTATATACTATGGTCGTCTTCTTGTAGTATGTCTTTTCTTTTCGTTCAACGTGTTATCAACTGTTTTAAGGAATGGGGTTTGAAATGTGTGTGCAAACTGATATGTACATAACTCCCAAGGCAACAAAAGTGCCCAGTCCAATGGTGTAAAAATGTAAATACAGGAAAATCTCATTTTTCTAATAAAAATAATTTCTGCCGATTGATATGAAAACGAGACATGGAGTTGTGGTCTTTATTGTCCTTGGCGCTGCCATGGTGGGCACCATTAACGTTTCAGGCAGGCTTAGTATTTGTACAAAGGGCAACGACCTTAATTTCCCTCTCTGTCCAGTATAGGAGTGTAGATGGAAGCGTGACACCGCAAAGAAGCCACGGCTTGGCTTCCAGATTTTAGCAGCAAGCTTTGCCACTGTCCCTTACCTGGTTATCATCTTCCTGTGCAGTTCCTGTGCTTGCAGCTTTGACTCTGATAACGCTGAACTTCACCAAGCTTCTGTGACTCCCGGTTCTGCAAAAAAGAAAAGAAAAAAAAAAGTGGTGGTCAAAGACCTCCCCTCCTTTCTGAATTCCAGGAAACAGCTTACTGCAAAGAACTGCCTTTGTCCATTTGACTTTGATATGACCCGCAGGCAACCCTCAGGTCATGGCCAGACACAGACCCTCCAGGTCTTTGCCCACAAATGATTAGCTGAACTTCGTATCCCTACCATTCGATGGAACCATATGCTTGTCAACCAAGTGATGGTTAAGTGTCTCTCCTCCCAGGCCCCCGCACATGGTCGACCTGTGTCAACACACACCCTTCCCCTGGGACCAGGTGACCCCACATCCTCTGGTCTGTCCACCCATGCCAACCCCCTTCACCTCACTTCTCAACCCCTGTTCTGCTTTCATTTCCTCTTCCCTGTGGAAGGAAACCTCTTACTGCCTATCCCCCTATTTTAATAGTCCCATCTCCCCCTTGAAATAAGTTGCCTCCATAAAAATCTCTCCTGGAATCCAGATTGGATTTTGATCTGACCCCTCTCTTCCCTAGATCAAGCCATATTCCTAAAACCCAAATGCAGCCACATCCACTGCCCCTTTTCAGCTTAAAACAGTGGCCCATAAAGACTCCTAATTCTGGGAAATGAACTACGGGTGGTGGAAGGGGAGGAGGGTGGGGGGGGTGGGGGTGAATGGATGACGGGCACTGAGGGGGATACTTGACAGGATGAGCACTGGGTGTTATTCTGTATGTTGGTAAATTGAACACCAATAAAAAATTAATTTATTAAATAAATAAATAAATAAATAAATAAATAAATAAATAAATAAATAAATAAATAAATTTGGAAAAAAAAAAAAAAAACAGTGGCCCACAGGAAAAGCCTGGATTCCGGAGCCCAGCACACAAAGCCTCCGGTCACCGGCAGGCCCCTTCCTACCTAGTACCTCACACTACTTCTGCATCAAAGGTCTTCATGACCCTCCTCCTCCAGAGACACCATGAGCTTCCTTCCCGCATCTATCTTCCTCTATATTCCTGGGACACTGGTCACCCCCCTCTGAGGTGTATCTTCAACGAAACCTCTCCTTAGCCTTTCTGAACTCTCCCCCGCTGCAGAGTTAACAGGTGACTTCTCCACAATCCAGCCCCATGTACAAGCGTCTATCAAATCACTCACAAGGTTTGCCATATTTGTGAAGTGTGCTATCTCTCCCTATCTGTGAGCTTTTCCAGGGCAAGGGGTATATAACTGTTCACCTCTGAATGCCAGCAACCAGCATTGGACCCAAAGAAGGCATTTCCTCAGTACTGTTGGGTGGATGGAGGGACAGCTAGTTGGAAGAGTGGATGGCTGGTGGGTGAGGGGATGGCTGTGGGGGTCGGGGGGGGGGCAGACTGATGGAGGGCCTCGGGACCTGCTCTTGGTTTCCCTCACTCTCTACCTTATTTACCATATCTCACCCAATCCTTTGACTTTAAATGACACCAATTACCCCCAAAGTTTTATATCTGGGCCCAACCACCTCCATACACTCTCAACTCCTATATCCATATCTATAGTTTCTAGAGATGTTACCGACATCATTGCCTAGAGATATTACAGCCATTCACATTCCAAAATGCCTTGAAAAGTCCTCAGGACCAGTCCTCTCAGCAGATACCTGACCTCCCCAGTGTTCCCATTGCAGGAAGTGGCACAGCTATGGACCTGGGTTCTCAGACCGAACACCTGCTGGTTGCCCTTCATCCCTCTCTCCCCATAACATCCAGCCCCTTGGCCAGCTCAGTCTGTATCATCTTTAAAATCCACTCAGGAACCACTGCTTCTCATCCCTTCTACCACCATCCCTCCGCTCCATCACCTCCCACGTGTATGACTATAATAGCTCTCCAACCCTCCACGTGTGGCCATTCTCCAGCAGGAGCAGGGTAATCTTTTAAAGGTATCTGATCCTATCCCTCACCTGCTCTCGAGGCTGCACTACCTTTCCATTACAACGAGAATAAAATCAAAATTCTTTCCCACTGTAATAACTCTGTGCCCTACACTCTGACATGACTGCACACTCCAAAAAAAAAAGGCAGATGTTTCCCTGTCCTCTTACCTCATCCCCCCTCTTCTGGGCTTCTCATCCCTGACCTTTTCTCACTTTTTTTGAGCAGCTGAAGATGGGCCATTTCCAACACATTTTTCCATGAACTGAAGTGGCACTAAATACCATCACTGCTATGAAACTAATCGGCAATTTGTGAGATGCCTTCACATCCATGTAGCCCCATTTGGGGGCATAATTATTTCCTAATTAGAAAGCGATTTATACTTGGAACTTGGGACACTGGTTTCTGCCAGTGATGTGGCTTTCCAGAATGGCTCGGTTCTTTCTTTTCCACCCCAAGACTCTGTTGGCTGAAGTCAGATGACCAGACAGCCGACCAAACTTAATTAACAGACTGTCCTGTGGGAGGGCAAAGCTCTCATTTACCAGTCAAATTTGCTATAGTTCAGAGGACCAGAAAGATCTCTCTTTGGAAGATCCTGTAGTCCTCTCCTAGACATGGAGTTTGGGGGTCACTTACCTTCTTTTCCAAAAGTGCTGAGGAAATTTGCCCAAGGTCATTAAACCAACCCGACTTCGTAAAGAACCCTTTTTAAATCTTGAGAGCACTCCTTTGCAGTGGGGATTATAATCCTCATTTTACATATTTGGAAACCAAGGCTCAGAGAGTTGGGGTGACCCGGGCGGCTGTGTTGCCGGGTCAGGGGTAAGCACCTGTCAGCTGGACTCCACACCCTGTGATCTTTCATCTCTACTTCTGTGCTCGCTGTCATGTAGATTCTGATGGAGGGCAGACAGGAACTGCCTGTGTGCCTAATGCCGTATACACTGTAAATGCTCGATAAATATTTTTCAGTAAACAAGGAGCTGAGAGAGGAGCCGGGAGGTCTGGGTCCTTGGCCACAGCCTCGCCACATGACCTCTGGCCAGTCCCCTCCTCCTCTGCTTCTTCACACGGTCCTCTTATTCATATCTATGAGGTGAGCATCTAGCTCCAGCTTGCTCTCCTCATAGGCATGTGCAGAAACACTGCTAACCATACCTTGCAAAAGATAACTCCCTTTTGTACTTTTTTTTTTTTTTTTTTTTAGTTCTAGAACTTAAAAGTTGTGCTCAGGGCGTGTCCAAGGAAAAACAGCTTCCTTATGAAGTGGCTGGAAGTCTATGCCACCTGGCCCCAGCTCTACTGGGGACAAGGAGTATCTTTCCCTGGAGGGAAAAATGACCCATGAATCAGAGGTCATGGATCATGCCTTTCTTCTCAAGGAACAGAGAGAAAAGTGGCCACCAGCTTTGTTCTCGAACGTTCCAGGGTGCTGTAAGCTCCAGGGCTCAGTGTGCAAAGCCTTCACCCCTGTCCCAAGGCAGCAGATAGAAAAGAGGTCCCCATTTTTGCTTCTGGAAGCCCCAAGGTGCTAAAATTTCTGGGGATGTTGATGCAAAGGCGTACACACGCTGGTTTGGCAAAAAGCTCCATCCAGCGAGCATGCTGGCAGACGTCGGGAACAGACTGTGCTGTGACTTTCCATTTGAAATTCCTTATTTTCTCTTGAAGAAGAGTCCAAGTCTCCCCCATGTCCCAACCCCTGCTGACATGCCAGAGTTCCCCTTTCTTTCCCGGGCCTCTCCCGGGGAAGAAGCAGCAGCTAGCTGCCTTGTTCTTCTTAACTCAGCGGGGCTGCAGGCGGCCCTGCCATCTGAAGGACAGCCTCCTCCTCTCCCATTCCTTCCTGAGCAGATAAGAAACCCTGGTCACTGTGTCAGAGGCGGGGGCCCAGGAACAATCGACATCAGATGTGCTCACTGCTGCTGGTACTTTTGATTGCTTGGGGCCTTTCATGTGAACAAGAGCTGAGGAATAGGGATATGCAGTGAGAGAGAGAAAAGAGAGAGAAGAGGGGCCAGCCCCTGTCCATGGGCGCTCAGATACCACACTGTCTCCCCTTTCACCGAACACAATGGACTTCCCCTTGCAAATTGTGATGCTGTGGCTCAAGGAAGTGATTCTCTGTGGCCTCCCTAGTATGCTCAGAGTAATATAAAGAAGCCAGGGTCCAGTCTGGCTCATGGAACCATAGCATGTTCTTTGGACTTAAAGATCTTTAAAGGTCATCAGAATACAAACTGTGGCACCACGAGCCTATTTCAGTGTAAATGACACACACAAGAGGCTTTGCAATCCAGGGCATTCTGAATCCACTACCCACAAAGCCCATTCTACATTTCCCCCGGCCAGCCCCCCTGCCCTGGCCCCAGCCCTGCCATCATAAGCTGCAGGGGAGGACAATGTAGAGGAGGAAGCATGAGCATCTGTGTTGCCTGCAGCATGGGGAAAGTGTTTAACTGGTCTGGGGCATTTTTCACATTTGACCTTAAGGGATAAAGTTCGGGATCGTGAAGCTCACATTCATTCATCAAAGATAAGGTAAGCAAAAACAATAATGCACATACATACTTTTGGCTGCCTCCCAGATATCCTGAAGGCCCTCCAAACCTAACACATTCCAAGTGAAATGCATCCTCCTCCTGCTGTGGCCAACACCTGCTTCTCCCCTTTAGAGTCTCCCCGGGTGAGAACAGAGGAGCAGCATCAGTCCCCAGCTAGATCCAAGTCCTGACCTTCCTCCCTTGTCCTCTTGTCCCTCCCCTACTCTGGTTAA